GTCCCCTGCCTTCGCCCTAAGTCGGCTGGGTCCAAAAACATGCTGAGGTTAATTGGTGATTCTAAATTGTCCATAGGTATGAATGTGAGTGTGTTTGTTTGTCTGCCTCTAAGTGTAGCCCTGCGATAGACTGGTGACCTGTCCAGGGTGTAACCTGTCTTCGCCCGAAGTCAGCTGGGATAAGCTCCAACCCCCCTGCGACCCTAGTGAGGGTTAAGCAGTGTATAGATGACGGATGGATGGATGGATGGATGGATGGATGGATGGATGATTCAGTGAAATCAGACATTGCTTTTGAATTGTGGTTGAAAAGAAAAATTACAGAAAAATAAATGAATAAACTGGCCCAGACAAATTAGAGCACTTTGCTGATGAGCAGTGGGCCAAAATCAAAATACATGTCAACAGGTGCAGAAGTTTGATTGACAGTTACAGAAAACACTTGATTGCAGTGATTGCCTCCAAGGGTTGTTCGACAAAATGTTAGTTTATGGGTCCCATCATGCTTGTTTGATTGCTTTTTTTGTTTGTTTAATATTCCTGTTGAACCACAATTCAAAAACATTGTCATGATTTTCATTAGATTTGTATTTATCATTACTTTTGTCAATTTCAACTTATTTCATTGACTGTTTTTTTCTTTCTTTAATGGGAGGGTATGAATACATTTGAAGACGACTATATATTATATAAGTTTACCTGACTTATACAAATTTAAGGGCTTTATCACATTATGTACTTTAAATTTTGGTGACTAAAGGTCTCTGATCATAAAAGTACAATATACATACCTTGTTTTTGTGTACTTCAAAGACTACACCCACCTTCCTTCAAATATGCTTCATCCATTAACCACAGTGTGATTCAATAACACCTCTTCCTCTGTGATTTAAGCTAGCAATCTTGTCGCTGCATGACTCTAAGCTGATCAAAGACTTGGTATGCTTTGAAGTCATCTGATTCCTTTGACAGATGAGAAATAGGGATTTTTTTTTTTTTTTTTTTGCTGATTTGTATGATATGATATTTGTTAGTTTTTCTTTGTTTTGTGTCCTCGCTCCCTGTCTGTCAGACTGGGAAATTCCATCTTGTATGGAATCTTCATGGAAGTGGAGGTATCTGCTGACGTAAATGGTAAATGATCTGCACTTATATACTCCAAAGCACTTTACAGTGTGTTTCTCATTCACCCATTCATACATCAATGGTGACAGAGCAAGGTGCTGCCAACTTCGGGTTCAGTGTCTTGCCTAAGGACACTTCGACTGTGGAGGGGCCAGGGATCGAACCACCAACCTTGCGTTTGGAGGGCAACCCTGAGCCACAGCCACCCCTGACGTGTGACAAGACTCAGGTTTAGGATCCAAACGCAGGACTCGAGAGTGGAAGTGAACAAACGCATTTATTTGCAAAAAATGTAAAATACAACACAAAAACTCAGCGTTAGAAAACCTCTCTTCTTATTCTGGACAGAAAAAAACACACTAACAAAAAAAACCACAGCGAAGCTGGAGGGATAAATATGTAACAAAAAAAAAATTACAGTAAAATTGGAAGGATAAATGTGTAACAAAAAATTCACAGCAAAGCTGGAGGGATGAATGAGTGACAAAAAAATCAAAGCAAAAGCTGGAGAACAAAGTATCAAAATACAAGAATAAGAATTCAGGAGCACTTAGCTTAGAGCTATGGACGATCGAGACGGCACAGGACCGGTACATGAACATTACACACTGGCACAGGACAAAGGGAGACACAAACATTAAATACACACATGAGGTAATGGGGAACAGCTGGACACAATTAGGGCAAAGCAAACAATCAGGAAGACGACAACAGGAAGTAGAGTAGACAAAAATCACATGAAAAAAAGCTGCCAACAGAAACAGGAAGACGAGACAGAAACAAGTCTAACTTGACCCCAAAGTCAACCATGACAACGTGTGTGATGTTTCAGGGCCGCATCACGGTGACCGGCCTGCTGGATAGAGAGAAGGGGGATATATACACCTTAACTGTTGTAGCTGATGATGGAGGACCTAAAAAGGACTCCACTGTGGTATGTTGCTTGTGTATTTTCTTGTTTGTTTTATACTCAACCTTGCAAATATGCATATTTTAAATTTATTGCTGTGCGTGTTGCATCTTTAAAAACTTTATGGCATTCCTCTTTTATTAACCGCATCTCTCATTGGAACTGTAGAAGGTAAGACTTTTTATAGCACTTAGAATATAAAGTATAACTTGGAATGTATCCATCTGTGAAAGTATAAAAAGTGACGATGTATTCTTAGGCTCATTTGTCTGGAGTTAATGATTCTTAAAGCTAAATATCACCTTGTAATCAGCAGTAGACCTTAAGTTATGTTTGACTTCTTCACAGGTATCAATCACTATTCTGGATGAAAATGACAACAGTCCTGAGTTTGACATCACATCTGATACTTCAGTGGACGTCGCGGAAAACACGCTGTTGGGGAAAAAAGTGGCAGTTGTGCTCGGACGGGACAAAGATGCTGGATTAAACGGATTGGTGAGGATGAAAAAAAAAAAAAAAAAAAAAGATAGCAATACACAGGCTCAAGCAGATAACAAAATCTCCAGATAAAGTTTAAAGATTTCATGCACAGTCACTAAAACATGATACAGACTTAAGAGTCATCGCTGCAACAGTAATATGCAAGAACACCACTAAAATGAAAGGTCTCTACGACACATTTTGTGTTAATGTGACAGGTAATCTTTTATACTGCTTCACAGCATTAAACTGAATTTATTCACAGAATATAAGCAAAAACATTTTCCCTCCTGAAAATAATGCAACATTTCACCATATTGAAATATGATAAATCAAGCAGGTGAGTTTTACAGGCATCCAGGCAGAGAATATGTCATTTACAAGTTACACTTCACTCATTTCAGTTTGTGTACCTTTTCATGTGACATTAACACTACAAATATCCACTTCAGCAGATTGCATGCTATGCAGTCAGTCAAATAAAGCTTCAGTTTAACTTCTGCTAACTCAGATTTTGACATTTCAGCATGTGCAACTACTACCGCCAACCAAGGCCAATTTGTCATCAAGCAGGCTGATCACCACTATCTGAAACTAATATATGTGTAAGAATGAAAATCTTGGTGTCAAATTTAGAATAACACTAAATTCAACACAAAACTTTGTTCATGTGCGTTGGTGTTTTCAATCTTGATAGGGTATCACTCGTGACATTTTACCAGTCAGACAGAACGGTGGGCAGGAAGTTGCTCGAGACCACAGAAGGGTGACACAGGGAATACACCATGCTCAAAATTTAGAACATGTACATTTTTCCTCTTCAGTAAAAGCTGAAAGAGCCCGAGGACTATTAATTTGAAAAAACAGCTACAGCATTTATCATACATGTGACAATGTCTCCAGCAGAGATGGGTCTTTTATATTCAGCATATCAATGTGCAAAGACAGTTTTGAACATGAGTTGGAATTTTGCTGAAACACATATGAGCTATTTAAGTCTAGGGGTTATATATTCATTCAAATGATGGGAAGATGTGCCACATGCACCTTTAAAGAGGTTACTGCCCCGAAGACACGAAGAAGAACAGAACAGTATATCATGGCTGTATGTCTATAGACTCAGAAAGTTGATCTACAGTAGAATACACATTTAAAAGAAATACAGAAAGTCTGAGGACCTTTCTACATTGTAATGTAAAACTGTCAGACCACCTGCCTTGATTTTGTGTTTTCCATTACATAAATAATCTAATAATATCACGCATTGACTACTGCAACTCCTTACTGGCAGGCCTCCCCGCATCCATGGTCAAACCTCTGCAGATTATCCAGAATACAGCTAGACTCTTCTCCTCTGTGGTTCCACGGTGGTGGAACGAGTTACCAAACTCTGTTCAATCTGCTGACTCCCTCTCAGTCTTTAAGACTAAAGACCCAGCTCTTCACTGAACGCCTTTGCACTTGACTGCCCGAAAACAAACAAAAAAACAAAACAAAACAAAACAAAATTCTATTACCTCCCACACAGCCTGCTATTGGCATCAACGCTCTATCACACTTGAATTTGTTCTATGGCACTTATCTAGATTGTTTTCTCCTGTCTAGATCCTTGCTTGTGTTGTATCTGCTCTCAGATGTACGTCACTTTGGACAAAAGCATTTGCTCAATGAAATTGTAGAATTGTAGAATTGTAGAAATAACAGTCTTCCCACCTTAATACATGCAGAAAAGAGCAATTGGTGCAAAAAAATAAAAAAATAAATCACAAGAATGAAAGAAATTGGGGGTTCTTGTGGAGGATCCACCATCCCCTCTAATTTATGTGTTTCATCCCCAAAAATCAAATGAAAGCTAAACCCATGGTGACTACCTACAGAAGTGGCTGCATTTGAGCCAAAGTAATTTCTGTTCTTTCTTTTTTTTAGTTTGTTTTATCTGAAATCAATAAAACAAAAATAAAAAATCTCAATACCGAAAAATACTGAATGTCAGATCTTCATGTTTGGTGAACCCATATCCAGTACTATATTTTTCCCCTGAGTACTACCTGCTATACAAACTGCAGGCGCTGGACACTAACAGTTTTTTGTTTTTTTCTTTTTAAATTATTACAGCCTGCTCATGCTGTTTCTTTCTCTCCTAACCCAACTGACTCTTGTCTCTCTGTTCTAATTACTTCATTTTCTTTCTTAATCAGAAAATGCTCTGATTTGATTCTTTTGTCAAATTTAACTATTAAGCCATTCATATGATATGGTGACTTTGTGATTAGAGTTTCTGAAGCTGTTCTATTGCAATACAGTAATGTGAGGCTCAGTTGTCATTGTCTGCCTCTTTTCTCTCTGTCTCATTCTGACATATTACTCTCTCCCAGGTCAATTTCACTCTGGTGGCTGGCAACATGGAGGATGTGTTCAAGATCAAGACCGTGAACAACACCTATGGGGAAGTTTATGTCAATGCTCCTCTGGACAGAGAGTCGGTAGACCGCTACCTACTGAAGGTCAGATGTCTATCACCAGTTATCTATGTGGCTATATGACTCTTTCACATTCAGATTCTACACCAGGGGTCGGCAACCTTAAACACTCAAAGAGCCATTCGGACCCGAAAAGAAAACACCAGGAGCCTCAAAACCCTTTTGACATCTAAAATGAAGATAACACTGCAGATATCGTTTTTACCCTTACGCTATGTGTAAAAAAAAAAAAAACTGTAGTGTGTTGCATTTATGAAATCAATAAACTGCTACAAAGAAAACTTTTTTTTTTTTTTATTTCTGGATGCAGCAAAAACATTTTGAACTCCAAAAAAAAAGAAAAAGATGCTGAGTTGAAGGTTATTTTGAAATAAAATACTCAATGTCTATTTGAATCCTCTTTGTATTGGTTGTCCTGCTGACTGCAGCTGGGACTGCTGCTCCAGACTCCTGACCGCCTGTGAGCACTTTGGGACGGGGAGGAGCTCACAGCAGCACCCTTTACTCGCTGAGGACAGTAGTGCAGAACAATACGTGTTTTCACGTCAGAAACTCCAAAACACCAGAAAAGTCTCCAATAACGCCAGAAAGAGTCGCTAGATTTGTCGCTAGTCGCTTTTGACCAAAGAAAAGAGTCGCCAAAAGGATTTGGAAAGTTGCCACATTTAGCGAGAAAGCCGCCAAGTTGGCAACACTGCGCGTGCTGGTGAGTGTCGCACATCGGTGGTTGTGACGCATATTTTGAGCGACAAAATGTTACAAGTTCACAAAAATCTTCAAATTTAGAATTACATTTTAAAAACTAAAGAACTAAAATAAAATACATTTAAATTAAAATCCTCATTATTTATTTTCCAAAGCCACAAGGAGCCGCAGCAGAGGTATGAAAGAGCCGCATGCCGGAGCCGCAAGTTGCCGACCCCTGTTCTACACTGACACCACAACCCTCATTCAGCTACCTAAAATAAAGTACTCACACTTGTTTTTTGTAAAACCAAACAGGATTTTTTTGCCACCATAGTCGTCAGTGCTGAATGATGCAAATAATGTGTCACCAGCTTGCATTTTGAACTGATCTGATCACATCAAAATATTATTCATGTCAACATTTTGCACAGGAGACTGTTTGAAGATTCTATGCATCCACGGCGAGACTTTAATTCGTCAATTTACATGTACTGTTACAGGTGCGTGCCATCGACAACGGTTCACCTCCCAGACACACAGACCACTCGCTCACTATCAACATCCTGGATGTCAATGATAACGCACCTGTTATTGAAAGCCAGAGGGGCTACAATGTCAGCATAAGTGAGGTAGGAATGCATCACATGGAGCATGATCCTTTTATCAAGGTGTTGTTTGCCCTCGAATTCACAGGTTGCTGAGGTTTGTATAGATTTAATTCCTGAAGTAGCTGAACAGCGTCGATACTATTTAACTATGTGCTCACAAGTTTGTTTTTGTTTCACCACAGACAATCCATGATGAGGCTTTCTTTAAATGTGTTTTGCAGAATGTTGGAGGAGGTACATCAGTCCTCCGTGTGATGGCGACAGACAGAGACATCGGCCCCAACGCCATGCTGTTTTATTACATCACTGACGGGAACCAGGACCTGACCTTCCGCATGGACCGAGTGACCGGAGAGATGGTGACACGTCCAGCTCCTCCTGACCGAGAGCGTCAGCAAGAGTACCGACTCACTGTCACCGTGGAGGATGACGGCACACCACCTCTGTCGGTAAGATGCAAGGAACAGCAATCCACCAGACACTCCTGCAAAAAACATATTGAGTTCAACTATGTTTCTTCGTCTGGTGGCAAATCACTGAAGGAGGTTGTTTCTTAGTCAAACTATATTCTTAATGCTTTACTATTAGACATCATTCTTTGTTCTGTGTAATGTGGGTTGTAATTCTAATCAAGCTCACTTCAATTGTGCAGAGATGGCTCAATTGGAGGATTTAGCATCACATCCTATACAGAGCCCTCTTTTGGTCAATCATAGTACTACAAACAATCATACTTTGGAAATATACTCATTCTGGGAATCCTGGGAATCCCTTTACTGCTTCATTGTCTACATGCCTGAAGCCAAGGCAGATTAAATATAGAACAGAGAGGATATAGACAGACATACAATATACAACAGAAGTAAATAATCCCCTGTTCAATATCACTTAATTGTTAAATGATTCAAAATCATTTGAACGATAGGGTATTTGCTTTTTTAAAATTAAAATCTTCTAAATTGTTTACATTCACTACATGGGATATACAGACCAAACAGTTGGAACTCATTTGGAACAAATGTCAGTACACCTTTCATTACTGAGATTCATATATATATATATATTATTCTATTTATTATTATTATTATTATATTTTTTTTTTTAATGCTGACTATGTCCACTTATATTTGCACAATCCTGGAGAGATGTTCTACTATTTCTAAGGGGCTTTTTTTTCACCTGCTCTTTGCTGTAGGGGTTGGTACCTTTCTCTGTGAAATACCTCAGAGGTGTTCTATTGGATTCAAGTCAGGCGACATACTTGTCAAAGTTTTTAAGCTCAGTTTTCACTTTTCTGTAGAAACTCTTGTGTGATTTTGGCAGTGTGTTTTGGATGGTTATCATGCTGGAATTTTCCTCTTCTGACAAGCTTCTGCAGACTGTGAGTCATCTTGTCAGCCAGTGTTTTGGTTTATCCATAGCCATTCCAAGTGCATCTGTAAATGTTATCTCCCAAACACCTTTTGTACTCATGCAGCTCCATATCATAACACTCCCACCTCCATGCTTCACTGTCAGGACTATGCATTCACTGAGGAAGTCCTGACGAGGTTCACACCAAACATGCAAGACCCTAAATGTGAATACAATTGTCTTGGTCTCATCTACTAAAGCATATGTTTTCAATATCCATCAGGCTTCTTTACATGTGCTGTAGCAAAACTTCATCCTGCAAATTTTTTTTTTTTTTGGCTTAAGCATAAGCTGGGTTTTTTGTTGTCTCGGAGGCTGTCTATAAAGGTTGACATTGTACAATGTCATTCCCACTGTCTAAGTTGTCAAAGAAATTTCTATTTCTATTGATAACCCCTCTACCAAAACTGTGAGCACCTGCCCTTCAAGATCATAGAAGTACTGCACTGTCACAATCTGGTTTTTCCGTTGCACTAGTAATTGTTTCTATGTGGACCCTGATGCAGATATGCCAATAGACACAGTCCAGAGGCCTAAAACTGAAATAGTTCTGGTGTTCATAGATCATTTTATAATAACCATGTTCATGCAATTAGACTCATTTCTACCTTGTGTGTCAATGATTACAGGTGTACTCATTTCTGTTGCTTTGAGTTTGTTCTCTGAGGCCGGTGGTTTCAGTGTAGTCTTTGTAAAGTATTTGTTTTTGACTGCTAATAAGATTAAGTACTTTACTTGTCAACTCACTATAATACAATTAATGAGAGGTGATGCAGTTTTGAATCTTTTGACATTTAAATGGAATTGCTAATGAGTGTTCGCATTTCGGTTGTGTGCTGTATTTGTCATAGCTGACATTGTAAATTAAACACAGTGGTTGTTTGATCTTCTGTATGAGCTAATTGGCTGTGAAGGCACAGGAAGCATCTTATTTTTCAACAGGAAAGCCACAAGTCATGATAAAGTCGTTGGTTTTCCTGCTTAGAAATGTGTGGCATTAAAAAACTTTTTAGACATGTTTGTGTGTCTAGACAGAAAGAGTTATGTACAATACAGTGCTGTATGAGCCAAATGTACATCCATGTCATGTGACATTTGGTTGTACTATATTTGCACTTATGTAGGCCACACATTAAGGAATGAGCAGTACAATCCTGTAACAATGTAGTTCTTGTTAGTACATGATGTAAATTTTTAATGTAAGACTGTAGGGAAAGCACTGGAGAGAGGACAATGACCATCAGCAGGCATTGCCCCCTCCCTTTCCACCTCTCTGTCTCTTCTCATAAAAGAGAGATAAAAGATACTTGCTTGTTTTATCATTTTCTCACCTCAATGCCAGCTTCCCTCTGGTGTGCACCATCTTAGAGGCACACAAGTGGAACAACCTTGTTCTATCTGGGATGGCTCCCCAGACAACAACTGCAGTACGTCCTTGTGTAGTAATAGTTTTGGAGACCTGCCACTTGAAAGGAACAATGGTTTCAGAGACTAGACACAAGGCTCTAAGGTTTAAGAGATCCATTTTATTATACAAGCTGCAAACATGACATTTTAAATGCAATATACAGAACAAATGTGCTTTCACTGTATCTTTATCTAATAGAAGCTTCTTACAATTTAAAAATGAAAATTTGCATTCAAGTTAACGTGCACACAGACACACAATTCACCTAGTTATTCTAACCTTAGATATGAAAGCACACACACACACACACACACACACACACACACACACCAGAAAAGACAAATATCACAACTTTTCAAATGTTGAAACAACTCTTTCACACAAAGAAAACATGCATACTTAATACCATGACCTACATACCTGCTACACATCATGTTGGAGATGACTTCCGCAAAGCACCTGCTGTACGTGTTATACCTCAACATGAAAAAACCCACCAGTGGTTTCACAAAATCACACTTTGACTAAGTAACATCAACACTGCAGTCGTTTGCATTTACTTCTGTTTTCCTCTTGATCCACCTTGATTCAGTCGGTCTTTGGTTTACGTTTCATAGCCATTCCTCCACACATAGTATTTGCTTCTTATCAGTCCCATTGCACACACAAGCATAGTAATGAACACTAATATACATATCACCACAGTGAAATCGAGAAAAAAAAATTGAAATTATTCACAAAACAGCGTTGTGATTGCAGTGATTAAACTATTGGAAGTTTTATTTGGTTGTGGTTGTTTGTTTTGTTTTGTTTTTTATTAAGAATCTGTTAGGCTACATTCAAGATGAAAACGATTAACAGCTTACTCTTAATTCTTAAACTGTACACAAGCATGACAATCAATATAGAAACATTTTTTTCTATTTTTGGGTTTTGTTTTGTTTTTTGCAATTTTCAGCACTTTATGAACATATGTAAGGCCACTGGGAAGTGCTGAGAGCACAGAAAGGAAGGACTATTTAGAATCACAGAGCTGACAGTAAGTGAGGTAGCAAAGAGGGAAGAGGAGTCAAAGCCAAGTAGAAATGGCTAAGAGGAACAATGTAATGCCATAAAAAGAAATTACTGTCAACGTGTGCAAGAATGTTGGTTTTTCTCTTATAATTAAGACTAAATCAGTATGACTTATTTAATTACAATGAAAAGGATGAGAGGGGAGCATCAGCTCACTTTCACACCTTTGGTTCAGTTGAAATATATTTATATACATTGTTGTTTCTTAGTTCTGGGGATGTGCTGAAGTGTACAGCATATTATGTTAACATGGTTACCAAATAATCTTTTATCATTTTATGGGAGCTTCCTTCTTTGACAGTTCCCACAATAAGCAAATACATATCAATGTACTTTCTATCACACAGTTCTGTGGTCAGTCTGCTTACTCCCACATACTAGGCCAGTGATGGTTAGTTACAGGAAGCCTGCACTGAAGTTATTTAGATTAACAATGTGCACAGCAGCCTGAAAGAACTAAATCAAAAAAGTAAATGTTGGTTCAAACTGCACTAAAAGATGTGAAAGGAGCCTCAGAGTCCACCACTGTGAACATGCCACCCCTGCACAAGGCAGGACCTCCAGTCTCAACATTCTGGACTCATCATAAGCAGCAGGCCTCACCAGGCCAGCGTACCTGATAGTCTACAAGCCATTTTCAGCGTTTGGATGGAACATCAAACACCAACCCGGGTCATGACCATAACGCAAGCAGTCGTAAGCAAAAGTCCGCTTTTGGCCTCCAGCTGTTGTTTCAGGTGGAAATAGGGTTTTTTTGTTTTTTGTTTTTTGTTTTTTTTTAATCAAAAATGCAATCCTTTTCCCTCCTGCAGTCCAGACAGTGTACAGACGACACTGCCTGCAGAAGTTATTGTGAGACAGCTCATAATGACAACTTTGCTCTGGACACAGAGAAAAAAGGAAGAGAGGTGCAGGACTGTTTCCAGATCAGCAGTAAGAATGACAGATGACGTTTCACTCCTCTTTAAACCTGCAGGAAGTCTGGAGACTCAGGGATGGTGTCTGAAACACAAAAAAGTACACGTCAGCAAGAGCATGCACAAATTCACATTTCATGTCTCATTTCATGCTGCCATGCAGAAAAGTAGATATGAAGGCGTTTTCGCATTTGAAATTACAATCAATGCGCAAAATGTGACAGATCTTGTCACAAGTCACATGACAGCATTTCTATTTCCAAACCTCCCACTCTGCACAAGAGTACAGGAACACGCAGATACGTAGATTTCACAGAACAAGAAGTGTTTCTCTTGAAACCCATTGAAAAGCAGAACAAAGAAGTCTTAAATCTGGGTTGCAACATGTTGTAGATAACAAGGAAGTGCTGCTAGTCGAAATTCCACTTAAGATGAGGGTCAGCAGGCCAAAAAATATGAAGACAGCTGAATTGTGGCTTTTATCCACATAACACGAAACCTTGGACAAGAAACCAGGCTGCGTACTTCTGTAACATCTGTGGGCTGCTGAAGGAAATGAGCTCTGGCAGGGAAAATCCACCTTGACAACTGTAAAGATATCGTTTTTTGTTGCATTTTTGATGGTTTTATCAATATTTTGACTTTTTTTTCAGAAGAGACACATGACTGGAATTTGAGATGACATCAAGCAGTGGAAGTTTATAACTGTAAGAGGTGTTTTTCCTACTACAGACATTACACATAATGAGAAGTCTATTCGGACAGAAAGGCCAAAACTGCAGCAACTCGATTAGGGCTCAGTTGGTAGAATGACCTAGTTTTACATCATGACTATTTTAATTTCCAGATGAGCTTCAGTAATTGTTTCTGATACGTGTCCACATTTAAACTCCTATTGTCAAAGATCTTAGAAATAAGATATGTCATTGTTTAGGCTGTAAGCTGGCCATTTTCTATCCTTTTTCCCTCTACCATCTGAGGAAACGGGGCAATCCACCTCAGTATGCCTGGAATGTCTGCACAGGTGCCCCAGGAATCGGTAGAAAAACACACAGGACTGAACCCCTTAACCGTAACTAATGTTTCAGTATTATTTCAAGTTGAGTCAGAGAGAGAGTGACTGAAGGGGCCATTAGTGGTAAATGAGAGTGCTGATGGGTGGAGAATGACTTGTGAGGGAGACAAGAGAAGAATTCAGAAGACAACAGCATAGGGAGGTGGTTTCACTTGTGTGGGTGGAAAGAAATTAGAGCCACTGCACAATATTTTTTCTGAGTCACATCAGACGCAGCCCAGCTGTTTTGAGTGTGAGCATGCAGTTTTGCACTAGAATGTGAGCATCTTTCTGCAAAACATTCCTACCAAAATGCAGGATGTTACAGCAAATGCGCACAAAGTCATGGTTTCTCCTTGATTGCATCAGAGTCTTTTAACATACCAAATGTACATTTTGAAATGGCTACTTCCAGAATTGTGTCCTTGTGTAATGCACTTAGATCGCCACGAACATAGTGCATGCTCAGTAGAGCCATTGAGAGGTCCCTTCTGTTAGTTTCTCTGTCTTTGGCCTGGATACTTTGTGTTTGAGTTGTTGACATAATGCAGTTTCTGTGGGTGCCCTACCTTCTATTGGGAAGAAAACGTCCCCGTGTGTGGGAGGAGAAAGAGGTGTTCCTGGCTCAGACAACAGGTGTCGACCCGTCTCAGAGGACTGTCGGGTCATGATCTGAGAAACAGTGCGGGTCTTTATCTGTGGCGATCCCCCGAGAAACACCGGGTTCTCATGTCCCTGAGCCTCACTGAACACACAGACACATACAAGAAAGAGAAGCGTTCCAGTGAGTAAAAGGTGACCCAATAAACTCTTTCAAAACTCATCTGTTGCTCAAGATATGTAGGAGCTACGTGTTTGTCGCCTTTGTATTCTAGCAGTAATCAGGTCTTTAATACACGGTGTTTGTTGCCTAAATATTGAACGTTACATATTACACCAAAACGATTAGCAGTAGTCTGTGCACATACACATCAATTCTAGCAGGGAGGTGATTATACAACAGTGTCCCTGTTGTAAGCCATAAAATTGTCTCCCTTTGTGTCACAAAGTAATCCAGAAGATTACTTTATCAACATTATCCTACCGGCACACAACACAGCAACCGGCAAGCAAAAACTGAGAAGAGTCCTTTTTGTTGTCTACAGTAATTTAGTAATTTTGCTGACAGTAATTTGTTGTTGACACAAGTTGTAGTTTCAAATGAATACAGTTGAGCTATTGATTATTTGAAGCCACATGAAGATGTTTAGGAAACAAAAGTTTATAGTTATAACTCACTTTGGTCTAAAAACTTGGCTTAGCTAAGCTGCCTATTGTGTAAGAAATGTTGTGCCCATTGCAGAGTAGCTGTGCTCTGAAGCTGGTCTGTGAGATCAGCTGGCTGACAGACTGTGGGAAAACGTACCTGTCCATCCTCACCAGCTCTTGTGCACCTGGGAGAGAGGAAACGGGAAATGGGCCATTGTGAGTGAATTGAAACAGCACGGAACACTACAGATAGAGTGTGAATGTGCTTCCTACTGTATGAAATACAGTTAATCCACCTCAGTGACAGGAAACGTGTCCGACCAAACACTATGGGAAACCCACGGTGAGAGATTTATATTTGACCCATAACATGCAGTTGGAAGTGTGTGTGTGTGTGTGTGTGTGTGCATGCTTGTTTGTGCATATCAGCGATACATACGTCTGCTTGACTGGGCGCTCTGCCTCTGTTTGTACACAAGCACTAGAATAAGAGGCAGAGAGAGCAGAGCCAAGATGCAGGCAGCTATGGCCAAGACCACTGGCACGGTGCCTGGGGAGACAACAAAGAGACTGTGAGTTAAATAAATGGAATAACTGGACAGCCATCCATTGGCTATGAAGGCTTAAATAAGGTCTCATACCTCCAGCTGGTGTGGGATCCCAGACGGTGCAATCCAGAGGTCCGTTTCTCCCTGGAAAGAGATAATGAACAGGTCTTTTCTCAAAATTTACAAGTGGCTAAATGCAACTGTTACAGCATTAATGCACAAATTTTTAAATGGACGCTGAAAGACAACATTACATTGATTAAAAGAAACAAACACAACAACCTTATCCTACTTAGCATGTTATGTATGATCGGTTCAACTTTTGTTCACTACTGTATTGTAACACACCACACGTTCACAGCCACACATTTGATGTCCTTACGTGGTGTAACTTGGAGAACAACGTGGCTGTGGGCTTTCTGCACCAGCGAGCCATGGTTATGCTCCACCTTAAAGTCGAGGACCATGCAGCAGTAGCGACCCTGGTCGGCGTGGGTCACGTTCTGTAGCACCACCCACAAGTTCTGCTCAGCGTGTCCGAACTGCAATCCTGGCGGCAAGGTGTGGTTGCCATGTATGTGACTGACTGGAATATGGCGTGGGCCCAAATGTCCCGAGCAGTGCTGGTCGCTGTGGGACGTGAAGAGCCAGCTGCGCCTCACAACATCACTGGGGTACTGAGTGGCACCTTTCTGGGCACACACCAGTTTGGCGGTTGCACCCTCGGGACAGGTGTAATACAAGTGGGGGGCAGAGACACCCAGCGTGGAGTGGGAGTGGGACATCTCACCTGTGCCTGGAAAGAAAAAAGAAGAGACATGTAGGCACCACGGGTAAATTCGTTTCAGATTTCCTCCCCGAATACGTATCATCACAAACACTCTACCAATAAAAAGGCTTTAGTTTAAAGATACTAAAGTTTAGTTTTTTGGCTGTGGTTAGACTTAAAGTGGGATTTACATGCAGTGGAAATTATAAGAAGTGCCTGAGAAGCTCAACCCAGGGGGAAAAATCCCCTTTATTTTTATATTACAGATGACAAAGAAAAACCAGAGGAAAGAAGAGGGTATATTTAGTAAAAAAATATTAAAGTCACACTTGGTTTAGTTTATTTTGGTGGCAGTGGCAGATGGTTTTTTTTGAGGAACAAAAATCCTAAAATGGCATGAAAAACTGTGCTGATTCAGGTAGGCCATGACGTGTCTTGCAGACTGGATATGAGAGACTAAAGTTTCATAAAGGTAAAGACGTCATGTTATCATACATATATGTCTTGTCTATAAATCACAGTTCCATTCAAGTAGGTAGTGTCTAGAGTTGAGTAAAGTTCCTTCCTGGTACCACAAGTCATAACACAAATAACCACAGCAAGAAAAGTAATTATAGCAACCACCAATGTCAACAAGGATTTGCAACCAAAGTACAACCATTTCTGTGCCCTGTTTCTGCTGCTTTGTAGTTTTCTGGGCCTTTGAATAAACGCAGTTTGTGGTTAGAAACAGAACATAGTCTGCTGGCTAAAATAAATATGTTAACTTTCCTGTGGGAGTTAAAGTGGTTGTTTCTGTCTGTCAGCTACAGAAATACATACAGGAATTCATGCAACATGTCTTTCGCCTTTACACAAGCAACAAAGTAGAAATCTCACTTTTTGATCATTTTCTGCAACGCTGCAATATTATCAGCTAGTAATTGCAGTGGAACAGTCATTTTGTTCTCAGAAAACGTTGCACTGACACAGATAATCTGCACATACATTTCCATGTACATTCAGGAAACCAACAAGACAGCTGTCAGACACCGTTGTCATTTTTTTTCTTTACATATTGCATAAACCGTGCTCCCTCTCTCACTCTACTTTCAACCACATCCTGCTCTGACTTCTTCAGTGTAGCACTGGAATGCACAAATAAACTGTTTAATGTGTGCTTTGAATGATTATTTCATTGCAGTAACAACAAAATAAACAGATCCTCGGGCAGAGCAGTCTGACTCCACTCTTTAATCCCCCCCCCCCAAAAAAAATGCAAACACAACCTAATCTATAAAATGCACCCACACAATAAATGACTCCAGTATACCCAGCACGTAAAAAACATTAGAACAACTGTGTCACTCTCTGGCTTTGTCTGCTTAAACAGATCACTACCACTCTTTGCCTGCAACAGATTGCAGTGTGGTTTAGCATCCAAGAATGCTTAGTGGTGCAAAGAGGACCGGAAGGCTGCATGCAAGTGTGTGTGTGTGTGTGTGTGTGTGTGTGTGTGTGTGTGTGTGTGTGTGTACATGTGAATTACAAGTATGTATGGGGGTAGAGCACGGAGAAAGAGAAGTGTGCCTACAAATGTGTACTATTGCAGTGGCACCACGGATCGAAGATTTTACAATAAGTGTGAACAGTCTGATTAGAGAGGGTGGACAGTGCCAGAGTTTAAGGAGTAAACTTCCTTCCTGAGTCTTCCCGGCACGCGAACTCTCCTCCCACTCCTCCTGACTCCTTACAACTGAAAACTGAACTGGAAGAGCTACAGCTGTTGTTGCATAGGCAGAAAAAAATATCTCAAGCAGGTTGCACCTCAACCCACACATAATCAGAAAATATGTCATTTGTGCAGATTGAGCTTTGGGCTACTTGTTTGTTTTTATTTTTTGTAATCATTTATTCTTTTAAAAATATTTGATCTGTAAGTTATTAGAAAACTTTGAAAAATGCCCATCACTGTTTTTTTAAAGCTAAGTATGATATTAAATTGCTTGTCTTGTCTGACCAACAGACTTAACTCAAAATACTGACTTGACTACAAAGCAGAACAAGAAATTTCTCATGTTTGACAACATGAACTCATCACATTTTGGCCTTTTGTGCTTGAAAATATAGCTTAAGTCGTTATTTGACTATTAAAATAATTGGAAATTCATTTTCTTTTGATGAACTAATTGATAAATCGACTGATCACTGCAGTTCTAGATGTCACTGCAAGTGTTTTTTTCTGCTCTCAAAAGAAAAACACATGCAGTTATGTCACAGATTGGGCTGCAACATGTAAATCTAACCATGAACTTTCCACTGGCTATTTCAATGCAGATGCACCATGCAAGTGAGACTCTCAGGTCAGCTAGAACTTAAATGAGGAAGCTCATAAATTGTTTTCGTCTAAATGTCAGGACAAGCTTTAAGGGGTTGGTAGGACTCAGCTTGGCAGGAAATGCACTAGCTGAACATCCAGCGACCTCTGCTCTTTGATTAGCTGTGCATGCTTGTATATAAAGTGTGTGTGCATCCTGTGTGTTTGTGTTGCAGACTGTGAGGTCCATGTGGCTGAACCCTGCACTAAACAGTGTGCGCTGAGAAAACCAATACGAAGAGCAGGGAGGGTGATTAAAGTGAAACTGCTATCCCCCGGCTGCTCCTGCCTGCCTGGTGGGACAATAGGAGGGGAAGACCTTCTCCTCTCCTGTTTCACACCCACCCTGCCCTTCTTTTTGACAGCTCGCTCTGCCTTCTCTAACCCAATTTAGGGGAAAGGAAAACTAGAAAAAAGAGGGGTTTTTTTTGTAAAATATTCCTCAAATTTTTAGATTAATGGGCCAAAAGTTGCCAGCTACGACTGCTATACGCATCAGTTATATTACAGACATCTCTTTCTGACAAGACCAGACTTGGGAAATGAATATCATTTAGATTGTGTTTACCACAGTGTCAGCATTATGAGCTGTCTTGATGTGGCTGCAAACCAGGTAAAAACATGGCTGCAGAATTTGCCTGTCTAGACCAGGTAAGATTTATTTCGCTTGCATACACCAGGCATCTGTGGTTTGGCTATATTGTAGATCTACATTTCCTCCTGTGATCTCTGTTCTCAGGATGCTGATAGCCCCTGAGGGTCCAGAAACAGGCGCTCCTTTGTTTTAAGCCTGAATGCCACCTGTTTAGGACATGTTGCCACTGACAGCCTTCTTTTATTCAGACATGGAGTACAGCCTGTGTGAATTACCTACCCAGATTTTATTTATTTTTTTCCTGCTGAAACTTATACCAAGCTTATGCAAGATTACAGTTTTTCTTTTCTCTTTTGCATTTAAGAGGTGCTAATACAACACTGATACCGCTTCCTGGTACACAACATCGTGAACATCACCCTACCGGTAAATCTGGTATTCTTTCAATTCTCTTCTTGTCTACATGTGCTGCTTCCCGACACACACCTCAGACCCCACCCATTTCACACCTACTGTAATGGTAATGATTATCCAGCCTAGCAGGAGATAAGTCCCCATACACCTAGAGTCACAGAGTTTCTGATAAGGGTTCTAGCACAACAGAGCAAAGAGTGGCATCTTTTTAGCAACAGGATGTGTTCAAATGTGGCAAAGCGATACTAACTAGTCATGAAAGGAAGTGGTTAAGGGTCGTGTAGTATAGGCCATCACGTTCAGGGATTCATGACATTTGCTCACAGTAACTGAATAATGGCAATACTAAAAAAAATAGTTAACAGGACTTTGAGTAATAGTACTACCAATTTGTGATAACTTCTTATTAATGATGTTTCTACTGCTTAGTCTTAGTCTCTTTCATCTTCTAAAGTCACCTAGTAAATGTAGGTATGTAAAGGGTTGTGTAATGACAGTTTTATAAGCACATTTACAACATAGTTACAACATTAGTTCTTCATTTCAAAGCAACAATGGAGCTGAAATGTCATTTTGAAATCGTAAATGGGCCTTTTTGTTTTTTTGAAACTGTAAAACGTGCAATATATTACATAACTGCAACAAACTTACTGAATTATTGTCAACTACTTTGCTGCTTTACTTTCCTCTCTCTTTTGGGCTGTTACTGATTTCCTATAATTTTGCTACTACAGTTACTTTGTTAAATATCTTAGTTGTTTAAAAACTAAAGTACTTGAGGATACAGTTTTTGTTGCTGTGACTGCAAGCAGAGTCAAGGCTCTATATCAGCGCTGGTCAATGCCATGTCCTTGTGCCATTTAGTTCCTTGAATGGCACCAGGTGTGGGAGATAAACCCTGAACAGCAGCTTAAAGGCCACATACTCACCACATGTTACACATGATTACATCTATGATTCAGGCGTTTCAAAAAGGTGATAATCAGAAGATTCATAAGAGAGCACTGGGGCTCCCCCTCCTCCGCTGTCTTCCTATTACAAATGCACATGCTGTATGTGCCCCCACAACTGTTGCTGCCTGTTTCCACCTGGTCAGGCCTGTTCTTGTCAATGACATTGACCATGGAAACCAGCAGCCTAATGAAGACTGACTCATTTAGGACAGGAGATCAATGTGACCTCTGGTACAACAGGAGGAGAAAGCAAAGAAAGTGTGAGCGTTCACATACTGTGTAGTTCACGGACTATTTCTGAGTGTGCCATTGTCCTTCACTGGGCGCTAAATGCTTATCTAAACTGAGAGGAAAAACAGGCACTGATTATTGCCCTGTTTTGTTTTTTTTTTCTCCAGTCATATTTTGTAGAGTAAGAAACCCATTACTGGCAGTGGCACAAACAGTTGTTTTCATCATAGGCAGAAAGGAAGGAAACTTCTCACAATGAAGACATAACAGGGCTGAAAGGAGGGCGCTGCAGAGTTTTGGGTCTCTCAGTTTCACTGGCCTGCATGGATAATCCAGAAACACTGTGTACATTATAGACATCAAATCTGTGCCAATAAATGCACTTTAGAGTGCCTTTTTTAAAACAGTATTTACATTTCTGCAAACAGCCCACAACTCAATAGTCATTCATTTTGTTCAGTAGTGTCAGCTTATGGTTTAAAAAATCTCTATAGCCTTCAGACAGACTTATCTCATGAGCTTATATAAATACACCAAATCCTAAAGCCGAAAGGTGATCACCTCCAAAGTTTTTCAGTGGTGTTTGAAGTGCAGCACCCTGCCAACAGCTGCTTCTCCTCTCTCCTCCTGCGTCAGTTGCCTAAACTTCAAGCAATGCCAAAGTCCTTGGGGGGGAAAACAAGGCTACATTTTATAACTGCTCCCACGATAACGCGTGGAATGCCTATGAAAATAAAGCGGAGAAGTTACTGGATGTAAACCCCTCAGCTCTCGTTTTGGAGTTGTTTTGTTTTTTTCCATTTACAAACGTTGGCCACATTTCTGCACTCGTAAGTATAAATTGGTCACTCACTAGTTTGCGACTGAGTTAAAGGTGGATTTACACTTCACTACATCCCAGGGGAGGGGCTTTAAAACAGCTTCACACCAGATGTTTTGCCTCAAAACAACAACAGCATCAGACCAAATCTGTAAAGCTTTAAATGTGTTCACCCCAAACTATGTGAACAGGGATGCAATGTGCGTAAAATAACATTTTGCTGTGATACCGCTGTTTCGGGGGGGATATAATAGAAGGACGCAACAAAGTGGAAGAAAAACTGCTTAAAATAGCAAAATACCAAAGACACTATTCGTTTCTGTAGGCAGTAATGTCACAGAGGGTTTCTATCAAGCCTGTCATCGGTCTTACCACACAACGTGCACTCAGGCATGTGCGCTTTGGACGCGTTCAGTTATTCCTGGAGCTCAACAGTTACTCGTGTTTCATGCCTAGTTACTCATTTCTAGTGACTTGGTTGTCTTGTTTTATCACTCCAAAATCTTCCCCAGTCGTAGTCAATTGACTTTTCGTTGCGTAAAAACACAAACTGTTGAATTCGATGGTCCGTTTTGGTTACTAAAACGCAAACAAGTTCACACACGCCCGGACAGTCGGACGAGCCAGTTTAACGAGTCTAAAGAAGGATGGATGTCTGTTTGTGCTTACCTGGAGCTATGGAAAACACAACAGAGAGAAACCAAAACACGCTGTTCCTTCTCCAATCTGATGTCCGGCGATGTAATCCTCTCTCCATGGCTGTGTGGATTTAAAGAAGAAGGGGGGAGAAAAAAAAGTAGCAGAGCAGCGTTTGACTCAGGCTGTGATCAACTATCTCTACAAGATGCCTGTGTTCAACTTTTTTTCCATTCACTCAGAAACTGGGTAGATTCTCTCAACCAAAAACACCAAGAGGGTGGTTGACAGTTCCTTGTTTATTTCTCTCCAACTTCAAGCCTTCTGAGTTGTTAGCGCCACAGCAATGACACACGAAGTTAAAACGCTCCTCCCCTACTGTCAGCCCCCCTCTTCCCCTTTCTCTCCCTCTCTTTCTCGCTCTCTGTGCTCCACCCTTAGAGCAAAGCACTGATGAACCAAACTTTTGTACAACCACAAATTGTGGTGGAGGGGTATTCCAACAGTTTAGTATTATGTTGTCATAAAGTTGTTGATGATGCGACTGACTTTTTGTCTCTAGTGGAGACTTTTCTCCAAAAACACTAAGTCCTACATTGGCAATAATGCATGCTTATAATGTCTTGCAATCACCAAGCAGCCTTTGACCTACAATTTCACATCTGTGGCAAACTGAAATGTCCATAAAATAACTAAACTTTACTGCTATGAAGACAGGGCAGGTCAGATTAATGAGACTCACCCATTCATTATAAATGCCATCCAAGTTTTGACAAAACATTAACAGGAGAACTTTAGTTTATTGCTTTTTTGTAGGAGCCTTTCCTCTGAGTGTATTAAATGGCTGCAGAAAGCAAGATCCATTTGAGGAGCTCTACAGGGAGGTTTGTGTACATTTACACACAAGGAACAGCAGCAGTAACTTCATCACATGTACTTTTCTACACATCAGATAGCTGAGCTGTCACACAGTCACAGTTCATCAGATGTAGTTAAATCATAAGATAAGAATTCTGTTTTGATCTGGGAAATTCAGGCATTGCAGAAACACAAGACAGTGGCACACAAAAGAATACAATAGATNTATATATATATATATGTACATATGAAAAAATATCTACAACTAAACTTCTAGTGACAAATCTAAAGAGACTTAGTGAACCAACATAATCATTAGGGGGGAGTCCTGAGTGCAACTGTCAGTAGGTGTGTGTGTGTGTGTGTGTGTGTGTGTGTGTGTGTGTGTGTGTGTGTGTGTGTGTGTGATTATGTGTCGGGGGCTGTTGAGTGTGGGGACAGTCCTCTGCTGTTGTACAGTCTGATGGTAAATCATAGCTGTTGCCGTCAGGTTGAGTCTTGAGCTCAAACACAGCTGCACATTTACAGGGGACATTATTATAGTATTAAGTTTTCTTTCAGTTCCCAGAATGATCTTTTTAAAGGCAGGATAGTGGTCATGCATGTAGAACATTGTTGGAACATTTAATAGACTCTGTGTTCCCTCACTGATATCTCACTTACAGGAAAGTTCTAAAACATTTCTTAGGTGACGAGACTCAGGTTTAGGATCCAAATGCAGGACTCAGTAGTGAAAGTGAGCAAAAATATTTATTCACAAAAATGTAAAAAGCACAAAAACTCAGCAGATCTAGAAAACCTGCAAAAACACGCAAACAAAAAATCACACCAAAGCTGGAGGGATAAATGTGTAATCAAAAAAAAAATAGCGGCGAAGCTGGAGGGACAAACGACTAACAAAAAAACACAGCAAAAGCTAGTATCAACATACAAGAACAAGAATTCAGGAGCACTTAGCACTATTGGCAGTCTAGACAGCACGAGAACGGTACATGACATGACACACTGGCACAGGACAAAGGGAGACACAAACATTAAATACACACCTGAGGTAATGGGGAACAGCTGGACACAATTAGGGCAGAGCAAACAATGAGGAAGACAAATAGACAACAGGAAGTAGAGCAAGCAAAAATCACATGAAGTCGAGACTACAAAATAAAAGCTGCCAACAAAAAAAAAATTGACCTCAGAGTGAACATTAGGTCTCAAAAAGATCTGAAAAAAAACTTTTTTCTTTAAATGTTGGGAAACCGTCTTCCTTTGATATCGTGGGACATTGTGAAAAATTTTAATAGAAGAGTATTCTACACTGTTGCCCATAAAGTTGGAATATTTTTTTTTATTCCAATTATATATCTTCTCAAAACTTTATTGATATCACAATATACATACAATACCTTTCACAGTAAAAATTAAACCACAATTTTGCAAACAGTGTATTCAGGCTTAAACTAAATTGGGTTACTGAACAACAGGATTAAGGGTTTTGTTTACATTTTTTTTCAACTTTTGTCCCTTTAACAGGAAACACATATTCGAGGGGATTTCATGCATTACAATGTCCAATATTACGCTTTCAAATGTCACTCAGTCACTAATATTGAATATGTCCACCCGTGACAAGGATCAATGCATTAAGACATCATGGCATACTGTCTGCCAGCTTGTTGATGTTGTCCCACTCTTCAGTCAGATCCCAAAGCCAGAATTTGTTTCAGCTGGTAACTGGGATGTATGTAATCATTGAACCTGGTCAGAAGTGATTACTGATGTGTATAAATAGAAATTAAAAAAAGAATGTGTCTGATGAAAATTATTCCAAACTTACAGGCAACAGTTGATAATGTGTTCCCTCAACAACATCCTTGAATTGCTCAGAACACTGCAGGAAGAATGTTTCAGTCTATTAATATATCTCATAACAAGAACATTTTGTAAAAATCGTCTCAGGTCTTGTAATCATCTGGAAAAGATTTTTTGAATGTTGCTTCAAGAACATTTTTCATTTTTATCACAGAACATAATTCTAACTTCTAAATGTCGAAGCTAAGTCTTACTTTCACTTTCTCATGGGAACATTGGAAATGGAAATGATAAAAATGTTTTTGAACAACACATTACAATAATATTATCAGAACTTGTAGGTAATGTTAGCCAGTGTTGTGTTGTTCTGCGTGACAGAATGCAAACATTTTCACACAGAAAATTTTCACCAAAAAGTCTTTAACGTGCTTGTAGTTCTTCCCTCATGTGTAAAATCAGTGCTCTTTAGTGTTTGAGTTGGCTAAGGTTTTTATCATTTATTAACATAAAAATGAATACAGCATATGTTACATTAAATAAAGCTGCAGTGTTGTTTGAATAACCAAAAGTTAGGTTTTGTTTTTATTGTATTGAGAAACTACAACTGCCACTATAACCACCACCGCCTGAGTGTGAATCAGTGACTTCATCAGTTTACTGTCACCGGAATTCACAGGTCAAACTGGCGGAACAGGTATTTACTCAACATTGTTTTCTGTGCAGTGATACTTTTGCTTATGTGTCAGAATCTTTCTGTGTTTTGATGAGGTGGTTTCTTTGAGTTTGTGCAGCTGCTTTTCTCCCAGTTCACTTCCATTTTATGTTTGGAGTTTTCCCAGAGTGAGTCGATGAGATGACAAGGAATCAGGGCTCCTGGATTACTTGCATCCTCTTCTTTTCGCCTCCTTTGCATTTAAGTTTTCCCTTTTGGTTCTCACTAGATATTTTTCAAAACTAACTGCACTGCTGGGTTCTGTCCTAGTCATCCATGGTAAATGAATCCTGAATATCACATGTCACATATGGCCACCATAAATGAGGACATACGTTCTCTCTAGCAGAAAATCTTATAAACACACTGCAAGTTCAAACTGGTCACTTACACAAAAGCTTTGTGCTTGAGATTTGTTCCCTAATATGATGAATAATCATTATAGAGTCTTTAAACAATATAATGAATGAACCACAAGGTCAAATTTGAGTCATCCGCAGGCCCAATTCATATTTTATATAAAATATTCAGTCAGTAGCAATAATAAAATACATCATAAATAGTAATAAATACAGCTGTAAAAGTTCTCCCATGCTTCTTTGTTTCCAACACAGAGTACAACCACCATTTATGTTCGCATCATGGATGAGAACGATAATGCCCCAGAGTTCCCCGAGGAGGAGTATGTCACGGTCCTGAGCGAGGGACCAGAGACAGTGGGCGCTACCATTGCCACAGTAACCGCCATTGACCCAGATGAGGGTCTGAACGGCACCTTGCGATATGCCATTGCTCATGGCAACCTCATCCAGACTTTTCACATCAACAGCATCACGGTGAGACATGGCAGCTGTTGCAATGCATAGACACAAGCAAAGACAAGAAGTTAACTTTTTGTGTGGTGTGTGTATTTAGGGGAGAATTACTGCTGTCAAGGAGCTGGACTACGAGATCAGCAATGGACATTATGCACTGGTTGTCACGGCGACGGATCAGTGCCCACAACCTGCTCTTCGCTTGACATCTAGCACAACGGTAATGATGCACACTCTTTATATTTAGATTAAATGAACGCACATCCTACAATATGGACCAACAGTAGTCGTGTACATGTTAATGTTGCATGTGTCAATAAGATTGGTGAGGTGATCACAATCAGTTAACCCTTCCCCTCCATCTTTAGGTGCTGGTAAACGTCTTAGATGTGAATGATGTGACACCCACTTTCCCCAAAGCCTATGAGGGGCCCTTCGAGGTGACAGAAGGCCAGCCAGGGCCTCGGGTGTGGACCCTCAGAGCCAGCGATGAAGACTCTGGGCTCAATGGCAAAGTGGAGTACAGCATTACTGGTGGAGATTACCAGAGTTAGTATCAGATGGCTTTTCTGTGGAAAAAGTGAAATAGTAACAAAATCTTTGTATGTACCCCTGAGTTTCTCTCTGTGTCCCTCTATCAGACGAGTTCACAGTGTCTCCAGTGGAGGGCGAGCTTCGGGTGAGGAAGGGTGTGGAGCTGGACAGAGAGAACACTGCCTTCTATAACATCACTGTCACAGCCCGGGACCTGGGAACGCCGTCTCGCAACAGCTCGGTTGGCCTCAAAACTCAATACTCTCATGTGCAAGCATGTACACACTCTCACCATATCCTCTTGAACAATCAGGATTTTGCCAGCTTCACTTCTGTAATGTCATTTGGCTTGTTATTCACACAGGACTCTTAAATGTCACAAATGAATAAATGCTTTGTCTGTTGACTTTTACATGACCAGAAAACTTCAAGAACAGTCCCACAATTACAAATTCTACTACTCTACTGAAACTATTATCTTCATGTCACATAAAGAGCTAAAACATTATAGCAGCTGCTTATTTTGATGAGTTGATAAGGAGCTGTGAGGCACAAATGCCTCTTTGTAAAGAAAGAATCCATCTACATAAGAAAAGGAGCACTGTTATGGGTCTGTGTAACACTTTGCAGGTTCTCACCATCAAAATCAATCAAATGAAAAATGGGTTTGAAACTTTCATTATCCTTTTTTTTATTACTTCACAAATGGATAATTGTCACTGTTTAATTTTAAATCATTGAGGTTTGGGTTGCTGCTTCAGAATTATATTTTTGTGCAAAAATGAAAAAAGACTCAGTATTCTATTTTTTAAATTTCTATGTTCTAAGCTTGTGGTTAGATCGTGATTTTACCAACCCGAGGGAGTCTGTAGCGAACCACAGGCACAGTAGTAGAACCACTTTTGGTTTTATACAGTGCCTCTGAAAAGAATTTACTTAAGCATTACTTAAATTTGTAGACCCTATGTTGTGTATAACACTAAAATAATCATTTTGTCTACATTAAACCTGAACAACAAAAACAATATGTTGACCTAAAGTGCCAGTCTGTGAGATATATTCACAGAAATGAAAGCACTGACGTAAAACAGTGTAGCTGGTAAATTTTTGCAAGGTCGGCTATGATATATGTCAGTTTTGTATAACGTCATTGGTTGTTGTCTGTGGTTTTTCTGGGCATTCATGGCACAACCTCATAACCCAGATAAAATGGAAAATAACAGCATTGAGTCTTAATTTGTTTTTGTTCAAAAATCTAATTCTAAAGAAGCAACTCAAACATGAACTATTAAAATGAAACTGACAGGCAACAATTCATAAGTAAAGTAACAGGGAAAAAAATAGATATTGAAAGGATCAAGCCCATTTTCCATTTGATTCGTTGTGATGCTCCAAATTGAACAAAGAGCTACAAAGCATGACACAGACTGTCATAAACAGGCTCGAACTGGGAGCTTTAGCTTGAAATGTTGCTCCTTGTTCTCCTCAGGTGGTGGTGGGGGTCTATGTCCTGGATATCAATGATAACGATCCAATCCTCCTTAACCTGCCTTTCAACACAAGTGTGAGCGAAGGCGCCCCCATACACACCTCTGTGGCCAGAGTCCGAGCTCGAGATGCCGACAGCGGACGCAACGCGCTGCTCACTTATAACATCACCGGTGGCAACCGCGATGGAGCCTTCTACATCAATGACACAGTGAGAGAAATGGATGGTGTTGTTGCCGTTTTAGCATGGCAGTGCAAGCTCCCATATCTGATCACACAGTAGGCTGTTAGTTTAGCCTGACTTCAAACAGCTGTTCCAGCTCCCTTTCATCTATAGTCAGGACTTAAACACTCTTACCACAACACTGCCAATGCTAGCAATTTGTAAATTTCCAGCATTATTAACAGGTAGTATGGCAAGTCCTTTTAAAAAAGGGTGGAAATACTTATGCAGTAGTATTATAATGACATACTGTACGAGGTGTGTCAGAAAAGTTCCAGGACAGGTGTCACAAAAGATATATTTCAAATCCAAACTACAAACTACAAGTTTTCCTCTTCCAAGTAATCCCCTTAGAATGTAAACGCACTTTCCCAGCCTTCTCTGCCACACCGCCATGCACTCCTGGAAGGATTCTTCCAGGATCCTCCACAGCTCCGTCGTCACAGCCATGTTGATGTTGTCCACGTCTTCAAAACAGGTCCACTTGATGACCCCCTTGAGTTTGGGGAAGAGGAAAAAATCCCACAGAGCCAGGTGGGGTGAGTAGGGAGGTTGCTCCAGCACAGCGATGTTCTTCTCAGCCAGGAACTGTCAGATGCTCAAGACATTGTGAGCAGGGGCATTGTCATGGTGAAGCAACCACGACTAGTCCTGCCACAACTCTTGCCTCTTCTCGCACACTGAACAAAGCAAACGCTGCAGGATCTCTTTGTAGACGGGCTGGTTGATCATCTGAAGGGGAAAACTCGTAGTTTGTAGTTTGAGCTTGAAATATATCTCTTGTGACACCAGCCCTGGAACTTTTCTGACACACCTTGTATTAATATGTAGAAAGTAAAACAACCCAAAAATGTATCTTAAACACAAGTATGACTTGCCTCCTCCTGCTCTCTGTATCTCCTAGACAGGCGTGGTGCAGGTGAACAGGCCGCTGGACAGAGAGCGAGTTGCTGAGTACAGGCTCACCATCACTGCCAAAGACAACCCCGAGAACAACCACATCTCTCGGAGGGTAAATTTCACTCTCCTGTGCCCATGTACTGCAAGTGTTCACACACGACTGCATACACTGTCTGCCAGAGAAACCACTGAAGCAGTCATATGGGACTGTCAGTGGCATAGAGCATCATGCTTTTTCAAGACAGTTTAGGAAGTTTTTAGGTGCACTTACCAGTTTTGCACCAGTTCATCACCAAAATTGAACAATTCATTATTTACTATGATGTGACTTAGCTCCACACAACCTATGAGTCATTGCTTTAGGTGAAACAATACACAGTAATATTTAAATGTATAAAATATTTTTATTTTTTTAGGTGAAGCAAGACAAAGAGACAAATAACAAGTGATTTAACATAGATAGATAATGCATGACACATTACATTAATAAAGACTGGGGTCGCACAAGTCTAAAGTGATATCACAATTCGAACAGTGCTTTAAATGCATTCTTTATGTCTGTGTAATAATACATGCATGCAGGACTTTGTACAGATTTTTGCACAAGTTCTTATTAGAGAATTACATTATTCTATGATTTGTGAGGAGAAGAATATATGCAGGCATCCGGTGTTTTAGCCTGATAACTTGTTTTGAGTTAACTACCAGGGCCTGCATGCCCTGTATCTCACATGCATTTCATTACATGCACCCTGTTTATATATAATTTCAGTATCATAGCTGCTTGAACTGCAGGTGTGATTTTTTCTGTGCCTCTGTGGCAAAGGTGAGAAACTGCCACGAGCTATAAACAAGTTAACCACTAAGGTATGGAGGGCGCATTGCACATCAGCTCCATTCTGAAACCTCCGTGACAGTGCTTGCCTCTTAGTTTGCCTCTTCAAAGACTGATCAATTTCTTTTTTGTCCTCCTCACAATACTACACTTCACACTATCACAGATTTCTTTTCTGTACTTTTATAATTGCCTCTTGTGTCCCGCACCAACAGGATTCTGACATCTTGATAATCACCATTTTGGATGAGAATGACAACAGGCCTGTGTTCACCAGGACCAGCTACAGGGCTGAAATCACTGAAAATGCTGCAGCAGGTAGTATCCAAGTGTTTGTGCCATGTGTCTGGCTTTCTCTTTTCATTTGAGTGGCGCAGTCTATAATTGCAGCAGCAAGCAGCGTGCCAAAACACTGTCTGCAACCCTGTCTCCCCTACTTCCTGACTTTGTTTACTTACAGTTCATGTAAAGTGAAGGGTTTTTTTTTAACTTCAGATCAACAACTTTAGTTTTTGAATTTGCTTTAGAGTTTTAAAAATAACACTGTAACCAGGGATTCACTGAAGCATTCAATTAGATTCTTCTAAAATCAAAATTAGCCCAGTTTACTTGATAAGTCTGATTATTAAAGTTGTCGGAGTGAGCTTTAGAATTTTAGCAGTGTTTCTTGACATAATCACACATAAAATAGTAAATTTTACATTTAGATAGTCTGCTCCTAAGTTGAATTCAGTTGGCAATTGGTAGCAGATGCCACAGATGACTTGCTGATTGATTTGCTGTGTAAAAGATTTTTCCACTATGATGATGTGACTTGCTTTTGCTATTTTAAACTACGACATCAGTACTGGAAATCAGAGCGTCTTCTTGTCTCTGCCTGTCCTTTAGGCAGCAATGTAACAGTTTTAAATGGGCCAGTTCGGGCTGAGGACAGAGACATTGGGCCTAATGCTGTGGTGAAGTACCGCCTGCTGGGAGGAAGGGTGGACCTCTTTACTGTGGATGCCAATACTGGTAACTCTTGAGCAAATAAACAAAAACAAAAAAAAGGAAAGAAAAATTAAAAAGTGCAATCCAAATGATGAGTTCATTTGCAAAAACAGATAGCTGCATTTTTGTAGATTTTCAGAAAACTTTTTCTTGTTTTTTTGCTTTAGATAATATCAATCAAACTGAAGTTGAGCAGATTTGACTAAGTACAAATGACATGACAAAAATAGAGATAACTTAAGGTTGATTGATGTTGTCTCAGGTAGACGATGGAAAAGTGGGTTTTCTGAAGGTTTGTAAAAATGGAGTTATCGGTTTTTGCAAATTAATTCTTCAAATGTTAACTATGTCTCTGTGTCTCTGTCCAGGTCTGATATATGTGCGTCAGGGAGCAAAGCTGGATCGTGAGGCATTTCAGGAGCCTCGGATAGAGCTGTCTCTGGTAGCAGAGGACATTGGAGGTTTAAACAACAGTGTCCCCCTCACAGTTGCGATCCTGGATCAGAATGACAACCCTCCTGTCTTCAGCCCGTCCAATTTCAGCGTTCGGCTCCCTGAGAACAGCCCCACTGGTGCGTGTTTTCCCTCTTATGTATGAGTTGACTGGGAGGAAAACAACTTGCAAATAACTCATTCGTCAGCATAAAGGTGTCACTGACAGAAAAGTATTGCATCCCCACTCCATCCATCCATCCATTCTCTTCCGCTTATCGGGTCGGGTCGCGGGGGCAGTAGGCGGAGCAGGTCGTCCCAGACCTCCCTCCCCCCGGCGACGCTTTCCAGCTCTGCCTCGGGGATCCCGAGGTGTTCCCAGGCCAGCCGAGAGATATAATCTCTCCAGAGGGTCCTGGGTCTGCCCCGGGGTCTCCTCCCAGGTGGACGAGTTCGGAAAACCTCCAGAGGAAGCCTCCCCGGAGGCATGCGAGCCAGATGTCCATACCACCTCAACTGGCTCCTTTCGATGCGAAGG